ACAGATGATTATATAACACACTCGACAAGATCCAAAATAAGATATTATTAAACATATCATGTTAGTTCGGAATGAACAACATGGCACTTTCACTAGACTCAGTGGCAGTACACCTGGTTGGTGGACTCGACTCCAATAACAACGTTACCACTAGTAACACCAACGTTCATGGGTTTAATATTCAACCTGGGATAACTATATTCCTGCTAATTATCCGCAATCATAGATACCAATACTGCTCAATACATATAAGCAAGGTCAATGGAATGGGAAAGACTGAGTCCACTAGTGTCGGGAGTTGTTTACGCCACAGACAGCCGAAGCTCGCTCCTTGCTAGCACCCGGGGGTAAACTCTGTGAGGTGTCTCCGCACGGCGTTCCCTGGGTAATCTTGTCCTTGAATTCTTATCTCGCCATATTAAAGACATCCTTCAAGAACCATCTTGCTCATAGGCGGCTACCGAACCTCGGTAGTGGTACCAACAAAGACAGTGCCTGGAGATGCGTTGAGGAAGTCACTAGCGAGCTAATGTCTAACTCAAATATCAAATACTCATAACTATACGTCTGACAGCAATACAGAATATACTTACTTTACTCGAATTACTTGGCACATGATTATTTCACTATGTTAAAACATGAACACTGATTTTCACAAAATCGACTAAGTTAAATTGACTTAACATGGCGGCAGGAAACGATCGTTCACAAACCTGGAGATGCGTTGAGGAAGAGTCACTAACGTGTGATTCTTCCTTGTGCATTCGTATATATGTGAGCCTGGGGCAGTTCCGGCCTACGCATACATACCAGAAAGGCTAATCTCACCAACAACACAAATGCTATTCAACTTGGTCACTGTACAATCAGCCATGGACGTCAGTGTCACGGATCAGCTTAATTCCTTATGTCTATTGTCATAATCAAATCAGAGATTGAGTTTGTCAGGAAAAAGTGAAATGGGCGTTACACACGCGCTAACAACTCTACTTACCGGAAACCACAAACCACAGCCAAGGAATTCTTCCTGGAGAGAGCCTTTATAGGTTGTGGAGATTTTGAGTTTGACAGAATCTTTTCAGGAGATTAATGACTTTCTAAAATTGACAACTGACACTAACTAAACTACAAACATCAGATTCTCTGATGTTTGGGCATCAAAATAATCTAACTTCAGTAGCACTTGGAAACTCATGGCTATCCCCAAAGACGATATAAGGATATGCCACTCGTACTGACAGACTTGACACTCACTTACTTGACAAGTTTTACCAACAATAAAGACAGTTGAAGCTTTCAATATCACTCACAATGGATCTTGAATGTTCCAACTGTAATCAGACATATCTAAGTTGCCTCAACATATGCAACCGCAGTTGCAATTTCAAATTCTGTCATTATACTAAGGAATAACGAAGTCTCAGGTGCACTCTAAAATTGAGAGAAAATGGAGGACTCAGGCGTCCTGAAGCGATGAGAAAACGGACTTCTCAGACGGGGGACTCAATAAAGAAAGCATAGCTACATGTTTTGTGGGCTATTGAGCGTAATATGAATCGTCTGATTTTACGTTGTAACGACCACGGTCGTACACGTCAGTTAACGCCAAAATCAAATGATTCATATTACGCTCAATAGCCCACAAAACATGTACCTCTGCTTTTAGTTTGAGTCCTCCATCTGAGGAGTCCGTTTTCTCATCACTTCAAGATGCCTCAGTCCCCTGTTATCCCATTTTCTCTGACTTACTGAAACCAACCTCTCTATAAAATGAATTTGAATGTGAGAGAGAACACCCTGGTTTAGAGTCAGCTTAGATATGTCGGTTTACAGTTGAAACATTCAAGATCCATTGTGAGTGGTGTTGAACGCTTCAACTGTCCTTATTGTTGGTAAGACGTGTCAAGTAAGTGAGTGTTGAGTCTGCCAGGACAAACGATACCCATCGGTTTCGTTCCTGGGAATATCCATGAGTTTCTGATCGCGCCTGAAGTTAGATCATTTTGTCGCCCCGACATCAGAGAATCTGATGTTTATAGTTTAATTAGTGTCAGTTATCTATTTAAGAAAGTCATTAATTTCCTGAACTATTCTGTCAACTGGTATAATCTCCAAGATCTAACGTCTCCCTATGAATAGCTCCTTGTTCGCAGCAGGCCTGAGCTTGCAGAATTGATGTTATCAACATGTATATTCCACCTTTTCCTGGCAAGCTCAACCTCTGATTAGATTATATGAATAGACATAGGAAATTACCCTGATCCGGAACACCGGAGTTCACAATTAAGTATACGGTGATCCAAAATGGTAGAGAAGGTATGTTGTTGGTAAGATCGACCTTTCTAGCATGAATATGGAGGCCCAAGCTGCCCAGCGGGTGCACGTAAATACCTTTACACGAGGAAGAATCACGCATTCGTGACTCTTCTTCCACGTCTACAGGTATGTTCACGTGTGTTCCACGCCGCCATATTAACTCAGTTTAACTTAGTCATTTTTGCGAATATCCGTGTTCATGTTTCAACATAGTACCTTCAGTGCCAATTAAGTCAAGTAAAGTAGAGCTCTAGCTATCGTCTGAACCGGTGCCAGACGTATGTTTTGTATAGTGAAGTTAAATATTACGCATTCGTGACTCTTCTTCCACGTCTACAGCCACTCTCCTGAGGGTCGATAACTACCTATGGGCCCCATGGTTCTTGAAGACTGTCTCTAAGGGGGCGCATTTAGAATCCCAGGACACGATTCCCCGGGAAGCGCCCTCACCACTCTGCCAGTGTGTAACGAGTCAACCTCCCTGAGTGCACCTAGCGAGCGAGCCTTCAGCTTGGCGGTCGCTGTAAACAACTGTGCCCGCTGACTCCACCTGGAGATTGTACTTCATCTATTGCATGGAGCTGTATCCGCCCATGTTTGGAGGGATAACTAGCAGAAATATAGAATCCCGGGTTAAGTATTGAACCCCTGAATGAGAGTTCAAGGTACCAGGTGGTTCCTTGTGAAGTGATAAGAATTATGGTATGTTACTAATTGTGGAATTGCCCAGTGTGTTATGTAGTCATCTGTAGTACCCATGAAAGAATAACCTGAGAGTATGATGTTCTAACCACGAATTGAGAAGGTAATTTGTTCCTTGTTAAAGTAAGACCTGCGGGTCCAGGGTTATCGACAGTGTGTAAGCATTTCTAAATCTTACTTGTCACAGAAATACTACAACAGTATCCAATAAAGTAATGAATATTTGGAGGTGTTTAATGAGGTAATAAGTTCTTGAAGTGTTTGATGACTTAATAAGTTAATTTCGGTTCTGTTTAGCCTGAGTGAATCTAAGATGCATCTTCTCCACTCACTGTATTAATAAATATTGAGTTAGTAATCTGAGTATCACCACTCTACTCCTTCTAAACATTGGTTCCCAGAAAATAATACTTACTCACGTGCCTATACATCTACTACACTACCCAAAACCCTTCCATGAGTTCTGTTATATAATGAAAAGTCTGGGTGGTGGCAGCTACCCCTTGTAAGTATAAAAAGTGTTATACAAAGAATAACATGGTTTCCCAGACTAACCCATGTATAAGAAAGACATAAAACAAAGTATACTTCAGAAAGGTAAGAACATTGAAACTGAGAATACAATCTATATGAAAGGAAATAAAAAGAAAGAACCTTGACTTGGAAAACATAAGTAGAGAAGCATAAGAGTTACTTATATAAGAATATATGAGATTATAAGGTATATAGAGGTAAAGAACATATAAGAATATAAGTAAGAACATATAAGAATAAATATATATGTAAAGAAAGGAAGGAGAATAAGTAGAGTAAACAGGGTACTCATTGGAGGAATGCTACACAGAACAAATAAGTATATGAGTAAATAGAATACTAACAGAAAACAGTAGCTGGATGGTAAATTATTGAAAAGAGAAAACTCGGCCCGTTACAACGTTAACTGACGTGTACGACTGTGGTCATTACAACTTAACCTAACCTAACCTTTACCTAAGCGGTAATTTTTCAGGACTAACCCACGGGTGAAGAGCGAAAACGAAAATATAAACACTGTTGTAGTTTGTGCAAATGTGTTAAAAAATGGATATTTCTAAAATTAACGTTACATACGTTTGTTGGTATGAAAAACAGACCTAACTCACCATTGTGAATGATATTGAAAGCTTCAACTGTCTTTATTGTTGGTAAAACTTGTCAAGTAAGTGAGTGTCAACTCTGTCAGTACGAGTGGCATATCCTTATATCGTCTTTGGGGATAGCCATGAGTTTCCAAGTGCTACTGAAGTTAGATTATTTTGATGCCCAAACATCAGAGAATCTGATGTTTGTAGTTTAGTTAGTGTAAGTTGTCAATTTTAGAAAGTCATTAATCTCCTGAAAAGATTCTGTCAAACTCAAAATCTCCAAAACCTATAAAGGCTCTCTCCAGGAAGAATTCCTTGGCTGTGGTTTGTGGTTTCCGGTAAGTAGAGTTGTTAGAGCGTGTGTAACGCCCAGTTCACTTTTTCCTGACAAACTCAATCTCTGATTTGATTATAACAATAGACATAAGGAATTAACCTGACCCGTGACACTGACGTCCATGGCTGATTGTTATGGTCACTTTTCCTTGAGCCCCTTGTGTCATATTTGCGATTTAAGAATCAGTGGCCGACTAGCTAACAATTTAGACTTTAGAGGAATATATTAAAGAGTAAATATATCATCCACTTAGATGCTGAATATCAAAGAACATGGATACGCTTACTATACTTACATCTTGTAGTGGGGAAGTGGAGTAAATCCTGATGCTGGTCCCGGTGGAGATGGAGGAAATAAAGGAGGAGGAGGTGGTGGAGAAGGAGGAGGTAAAAGAGGAGGAAGTAAAAAATGTGGAGGAGTAGGAGGAGAAGGAGGAGGAGGAGGACATGGTGGATGAGACCATGAAGTAGGAGGTAACAGTCTATAGCCTAATTAAATATCCTTCACATTTGTGTTTACAGGACTACTTCACTTCTAGAAGAAGACATAAGTGAGAAGGAAGATGGTGATAGAAGTAAAGGTGAAGGAGGCCCTGGTGGAGCAGTACCAGAGGGACGGAGCGGTGTTGGTGAAGAAGGCTTTCCACCAAGACTGGGTGGAAAAAGTTCGTCAGGGCATCGCCAAGAACCTTCAAAAGCCCTCACAATACAGCCAGTGTCTTATGGTAGGTTAAACCCTCTCGCATTAGGGCATATCATGTGGAGAATGGTCTTCAGTTGCTGTTCTCATGCACCAGGACCTGTGGTGGATGGTTCTTATGCACCAGGATCTGAGGTGGATGGTTCTTGTGCACCAGAAACTCTGGTGGATGGTTTTCATGCATCAGGACTTGCGGTGGATGGTTCTCATGCACCAGGACCCGCGGTGGATGGATTTCATGCGCCAGGACCTGCGATGGATGATTTTCATGCACCAGGACCTGCAGTGGAAGGATCTCATGCACTAGGACCTGCGATGGATGATTCTCATGCTCCAGGACCTGCGATGGATGATTCTCATGCACCAGGACCTGTAGTGGATGGATCTCATGCACCAGGACCTGCGGTGGATGGATCTCATGCACCAGGACCTGCGGTGGATGGATCTCATGCACCAGGACCTGTGGTGGATGGATCTTATGCACCAGGACCTGCGATGGATGATTCTCATGCACTAGGACCTGCGATGGATGATTCTCATGCACCATGACCTGCAGTGGATGGATCTCATGCACCAGGACCTGCGATGGATGTGGGGACACAGTTACATGCATCACTTAAGCTACATCACAAGAAACGGTTAACAATGAACTAATACCCCGAGACCCTATGTCATAGGAAAATAAAATAGGTATCCGCTGTACTTAAGAAATTGTGGCAGATGTATTTGTCTTATTTGCTAGCCAAAAGTAAGAATTAAGTAAAGCTAATCTTTTTTTTAAACTCAAACATAAAAGTTTTTTAATTGGATGTTTGGAACTTATGATTTGTACGATATCATACATTAATGAATAGCAATGAATAAATAACAATATTATTGAGTAAATTAGCCATTACCAGAGAAGTAATTCAATCTTCATGGGTTTTTCATTTCATGTACTTAATGAATATGTTTATAATGATAAAATAAGAAATTGTTTTCTTCAGATTGTGTGATTTTACGTAATAAATGAATATTTAAACACAAATGTGAAATCAAATGCATCCATTCCTTCAAAGCAGTATCAGTTTGTGTCAACTGAGAAACGTCATAAAAATTTATGTAAAAATGGGACTGTCAAATAAAATCTTTGCCTCCCGTCAATACAGCAGGGAAAGGGGGCTTACTTCAACGACTTCTGCAACTGGCCGTGGATACATGAGTTCCGCGACTACGTGTATGACTCCCCGGCTGCCTCCATCGCCGCTGCCTTCATGAAATCGTCCAGTGTCGTCTTCTACCACGAGCACGTGCTCAATAAGGAACCCGGCACAGAAAAACGAACCCCCTGGCACCAAGACCAACCGTACTACCCCATTGATGGTGACAAGGTGGGCCCTCATATTGTTTTGAAGGGGAAGCGGAAGATACTGATGGTGGGTTGAGATGGACAAAGTGGGTTCTGATGGTGGGTTGAGGTGGACGAGGTGGGTTCTGATAGTGGGTTGAGGTGGACGAGGTGGGTTCTGATAGTGGGTTGAGGTGGACGAAGTAGGTCTTGATGATGGGTTGTGTAATGACTGCTTTTGGCATCATTATAAGGGATCCCTCTGACACCATTTTAATGGCTACCATTGGAACCATTATGGAGACACTGCACAGTGAGAGTTATAGTAGGAGAGTATGTAAATTGAGGAAGGTTGGTAGCATGGCACAATAGTTATTTAGTATTAAATATATCTTAGGGGGTATCTTCTAAACAAAAAAATCTAAGTACAGTTATTTATTAGTTACTGATTGAACATGTGTCACAGTTACAGATTATAGTATTGTCGTTACCAGATAATGAAACCTAGACATAAACCTGACATGGATACACTTCCCAATTAAAGGTAATTCACCCTAGGGGTCGGTCTGACAATGAATACGTGTAACCTGTGGGAGGCTCAGCAGCTGAGGACTCTAATTGCAGGGCCCGGTACTGCTTGGGAGAATGTTCTTCCTCCCAACCCGGGACTTCGTCCTGCGTGTGACTCCAACTACAGTGTGGCTGGATTCTGTCTCTCCTTCATAATGAGCTTAGTTAATGGTAGTGTATGGTAGTATGTCCTTTTTATTGTAGGCCTGTTCCTGGCACTACTGGAGGGCAGCGTTTATTGGATGAACACTGAACAGGTCATCAACACGAAGGCGAGAACCCTTTGCCCTCTCTTAACCCTTGTTGGGTCAGATCTTTAGTTTGTTTCATTACTGTAGGGTGGGTCGAATTAAGTGGATGTACACCTGCTCTACTAGTTATTATTATTATATATGTTGTTGTTTTTTGGGGTTGGACGCTTTGGTCTGATAGACAATCATTATAGTTGAGGTGGATAAAGTGGGGTCTGATGGTGGATTGAGGTGGACGAGGTGGGTTCTGTTAGTGGGTTGAGGTGGACGAGGTGGGTTCTGTTAGTGGGTTGAGGTGGACGAGGTGGGTTCTGTTAGTGGGTTGAGTTGGATGAGGTGGCTCCTGGTGGTGTGGTGGACGAAATGGGTTATGATGGTGGGTTCTGTTGGTGGGTTGAGATGGACGAGGTGCGTCCTAATAAGAAGTTGAAGTGAGTGAGGTGGGTCCCGATTATAATGAGTCAAAGCTATTATAGAAGATATAGGTAGAATATTTATAGTTGTAGGATGTAAAGTGAGGAAGTGTGGTAGCATTCTTAGGGGAAATTTTTCTAAACACCAATTCTAAGTACAGCTATTTATTATTCACCCAATGTCACAGACGTATTAATAGCACATTATATCGAACTTACTAGAACATTATATTTACGTTACTAGACACTTACTCTCGGACACAAACATGAAATGAATACACTTCCCACCGTAAGTAACTCACCCTATGGATAGCTCTGACAATGACTCAAGTGTGACCTGAGGGAAGCCCAGCGGGTACTGCTGGACTATGTCTCCTATGGGAGACTCTGCTAGCTGGAGACGCGGTGCTGGGGAGGGAAGTTTCCCTCCCGACCTCGACTAGTGACGAGCGTGACTCCGTCTTCTGTCGATAGTGACGTGAAAATAATCCTCCTGGAATGAGCTGCAGGGCTTTTATATTGGAGGAGAGCCGGCAGATGACCTCTCCTAATTAACACTGAGCTGGTTAGATCTGGACAGCTGTGTTTGCACCAGGTGCGTGGTCATGTCGCTGGTCGGTAATGCTTCCTAATTATTACCACCCGGGTGTGTCTTGGCTGGGTGTGGTTTCTTTAACACGGTCATATCGCACGGTTAACTCAAGTACTTTGTGGCCGTCAGCTCTCTTGGGTCAGGTCTTGTTGTCACTGTAGGGTGTGTCAACTTATGTAGGTTACCACGAGGGCATCTACTTACTGTTATATATGTTGTTCTTCTCTGGGCTGTAAGCTATGGTCTGATAAACAGTTATTACACCTCCTGCCAAGACCAAAACTTCCATACCAGAGAACTTATGACACATATAGACAGTAATATCATGTGCAGTATCTAAAATAGCCCCTCAGGCGATAATACAATCTCACATTTACAAACAATAATCTCATAGATACTGGTATGTATGTTTTTCTACTGGTTTGGTTTGATCTGACAAAATTTATTATACCGCCCGCCAAAACCAAAACTTCTATGCCAGGAGAAAAAACACATCATAGTAAGTGATCATAGTATGAGCTCAACTGAGCTAAAGATCCTACATATATAACATAGTATCCGAGACAAACTTGCAAATCACATTCTACAAATAATAACAGGTGTTACATTGCCTTTCCAGCCCATGTCAAAATAATGATTAGCCCAATCAGTAATATGGCTACAACATTGCATTAGGTAGTACAAAACATTGATCAAATGATTTCATAGAAAAAGTGACTAATCTTTCTTAAATAAAAAAACCTAAACATTCTCTGTAGTAAATGTTATCAGAAATCAGAGAATGGAATACTTCAAAATACAAAAAAAATGCACTTTCTTTCACATGTTAGGGTGTTCTCTTTTTATTATACATAAACAACAGCAATACAGTAGTGTGGCCCAGCATGGCTCACGTCCTCCACCAGATGGCATCATGGAACTGGCGGCACAGCAGCGGTAGTGGGTTGGTCCTTCCGATGATCCACCTCTTCATCGTCGACTTTCTTCTGATGTCAGCACAGCACGTCTTTTGTCTTCTCTTCAGATTGTATGTTTTTTCTTTCTTCAATACCGCACCTTGTAGGTCGTGTCTCCACACCTCCTCACTTCTTTTCACTTCCTCCTGGTTTATTATATATCTTTTCTTTTTCATCAGTTTCTATCATATTCCAGATGGGTTTTTCTAGTCCCATCTGAGTTTCTTCTGTAGAGCATCATTTTTATTTTCCAGATGAGTTTTTCTGTTCCATCTGCGTTTCCTCTACGTGTAGAGCATCATTTTCATATTCCAGATGAGTTTTTCTGTTCCATCTGATTTTCTTCTATGCAACATAATTTTCCGCCAATCCGGCTGGGTGTAGCCGGTCACACTGGGGATGCCATCACTCATGACGACGTGTGGGGCAGGATACATCGACCTGGTTTCGCCCTCTGTGCACGAGTATTGGCTGGATCCTTGGCCCCCTGTCCCACGCCCCCACAGTGGGAATCCCCTCCCTGGTTCGGCTGGCCAGGGTTTGATGTGTGGTGCTGCATTCCACACGTCTTAACTTCCTAAAGTAGAAAAATATAAAATCTCCTTAATCCTAGACCAAGGGAGGACTTGAAAGAAGTGAAGTGGTGTGTGGTGGGTGTGGTGCTGCATTCATCACCCTGCTTCGCCTCTGCTCGTATGTGCTGTGGTTGGAGTCAATGCTTGGTCCATCGTCACCTCTTAATTGTTGCTGTGTCTTAAGGCACCGTCATCCTGGCCGATCACTGCAGACAGCTTGGACATGCGACGTCAGGTCATGCCCAAGTGAGCTGGCTATCTCCAACATCTGGCTGGCCATAGGGCGGTACTGTGTGTGACATTTGACAGAGAAAGACAATCCTAAAGGGATGATGGATTAGTTGGAAGTGCATCCATAAAAAAAAAATTCTACTTTCTACGTTACGTCAATGTTTGGCAACTATGGGTTCCATCGCGACAAAGTTCTCATTACTCTGGGTCGGGGAGTGAAGCTCTGCTCACTACGCTGAATATTATTTCTCAACGCGTATCAACGAGTACACTATAAATCATACTAGCCTAAAAATACACTGAGTGAAGCTCTGCAATTATCGCAATATTAAGTTACACTAACCATCAATTCAAAGCATAACTTAAGGGACAAAACAGGCTGGGGATTAATGAGGTCACACTGGCCTGGGCGGGGCGGGACAGTACGGGTCGGGTGGGGTGAGGCGGGGATGGAAGGGTAAGGAGGGTGAGGTGAGGATTGGGACAGGGAGGAGGATGTAGGTTGTAAGACATGTTAGGTTTTACAGTTAGTATAGACACATCTTCTATCACTAAAACACAATGGGTACATTTAACACTTGACCGACAATTAAAATGCTCAAGGGATACTAAGAACGTTACAAATCGCGGGGTACACTAAAAAATCATATTAAGCACTGAGCATATTTTGGGGAGAGTGTTATGCTAGTAACAATTCGCACTTAGGGCCAATTGCAAGAACGGTTATGGGGTGTACGGCGCCATTTACCATGACCTTCTTGTCCTGGTCTTTTTTCTGCAATATCGCCTGTAACACATGGAATTCTGCACTTTTCGAAGCTTTGGAGGAGTCTCGAAACAAGTTTCCTGGTGGGAATTATTAGCTAGTGCTGTACTCAAAATATCGAAACTTCGAGATCTCTCCAGAGCTTTAAAAGGGTGGTATAACTGAAACAAGATCAGGGCAAGAAGGTCATCGTAAATGGCGTCGTAAACCCCATGACTGTTCCTGCAATTGGCCCATACCACGATGAGAAACATTTACTTGAGCTGTAAAGATGACGCATTAGGACACTTTTCACACTGTACTACAAACAATACTCGAACTGAATTAAATGAAGGAGGAGACGAGCCAAGTTTAATGGCTAAGCGAGGGAGGGCGTAGGTTTACGTTAATTATGCTGCCTCCACTATAACAAGGGAACTATATGTTACTAGATAATAAAGTGAGGAGGGCGTGGGTTTACGTTAAGTATGCTGCTACCAGTGTAACACCGGAAACTATAGGTTACTAGATAATAAAGTGAGGAGGGCATGGGTTTACGTTAAGTATGCTGCTACCAGTGTAACACAGGAAACTATAGGTTACTAGATAATAAAGTGAGGAGGGCGTGGGTTTATGTTAAGTACACTGCCACCATTATAATAAGTCAAAACTCGTATAGAAGATATAGATATGGGTGGAATATTTATAGT